ACTCTGCTACTAACAGAAAGTTTGGTGGTTTGAACCCACCAGCTGCTCAGGGGGAGAAATATGTGGCAATCCGCTTCCATAAGGATTCCAGCCTTGGAAACTCTGGGGCAATCCTACCCATACAGTGTGGCCATGAGTCATAACTGACTCTACAGCAATTGGTTTTTACTTATGTTTTAACATAAATTATGATACTCATAAAAATTATCATTACAAATGTACATTTTAAAAAACAAATTTATTTGAAGGTTTCTTTTTATTTTTATAGTTTAAGTGGTTTATTAATCTTCTGATTGGGCACAATTTAATGTTTGTGAACATTTTTGTAGGGATAAAGAAATGATCTTACCTTCTTTTTCTACTCTAAAAACAAAAGTTCTTTGTGTTGTAACAACTTCAAATTTGTTGTCTCCTTGAACTCGTACTGTAGATACAGCAGAAAGGGGAATTATTCCTTTGGAATACATCTCCTATATTGGTTAAAGGAAAAGATAGATACAGAAGACAAATTAAAATGAAATTCTCTTGATCTTACCCAAAGAGAGAATGGTAAAAATATTTACCACTATTTCTCTTTTGTAACTTCAATCTAAATTTTAAAAATGACATGAAAAGTGTATGCATGCTCACATGCTGGTTTAAATCTCACAAAAGAAAATATTAAGTCTTCCCTTTTAGGTGAGATGTCTTTTCAATTTTCTCTTCATCTGGAATTAATAGGTAAAGAAAAAACAAAATCCTACTAGAACAGCATTATATAGTTCTAAAAACAGCAGCATGTTTTTTATGTGGTTAAAAAAAAAAAAACCCAAGCTGGCCAAAATCATTTTGTGGTGTTTGCAGGCATCTGCTGGCCATCCCAGGTACTGTAACTGAACCATTTCAGAACTACTGCTACTACATACTATGAACAATAAGGATATACCTAAGATACAAAACTGCTAGACTGTATCACTTAGCATATCACTTAATGCTGTCATGAGAATCTTAATCTTATAACTAAATCTCTTTATTTTTACCACTCCCTGCCCCCACCACCAATAACTAAAAAGCGGGGGGTAAAGAATTAAATTGTTTGCAACTGGTATACATATGCTATAGTTTTGCTCAAGAAGGTCATATTTAGACTCTAGTTTTTTTCAGCCTTCATTTTCCTGGACCTTCCTACAGAAGTTAGCACGATAACTATCCCATAATTTCAATTACGTACTAAGTATGTCATGTTTATCAGGCCTTGTGTTGGAAAGGAAACTGAAACAGGATTTATATATTGAAGGAATCTCTAAATGAGAGTCCAGATAACATCATGACAGAAATGTTTAGAACTGAGTACAAACCAAAGGAACTGAGAGCACAAAGATGAAAGTTCTTGATTCTGCTTAGCAAGGGTCACAGTGATTTCACAGACACAGTTAAATTTGAGAAACCTGAAGGTTAACCAAATAAGATAAATGAGTGGGTGCCACCCTGGGCAGAAAGAGTAATTAAGGAGGTATAAATGGAGTCATGGTGACTCACAGTGACCCTAGAGAACAGAATAGAACTTCCCCACAGGGTTTTAAAGGCTATAAACTTCACAGAAGCAAACCACCACATCTTTCTTTCATGAAGTGACTGGTGGGTTCCATTGACTTTTCAATTAACAGCTGAGTGCTTAACCACTGCACTTTAGAAAAAAAACAACTGTAAAAGTGCTAGGGATTGAATCTAGTAGGACCTCATTCATGCAAAGCACTCCCTGTACCTCTGATCTACAATACAGGGTCAATATGAGGCTGAATTGGTATTTTTTTTTTTTTAATGTAAAGAAATAAGGGAGCCACAGTGCAGAGTCAAAGGCGATGAGGCTGAAATCATACACCAAGGCCACATTATGGAATGCCTAGAATATTAGTAGGGTTTGGACACATCCCTGTTGGGGTACAATGGGTTCACTTATGTGGGCCTTCTGGTTCTGGGCTTGCAGTCTGCATTAGGAGGATACTTACGGCTGTGACCCTGCTAGGCAAGCCTGACAATGATAGTGAAGGGAGTTTTCCTATATAAATGGCCAATCTCACAGAGGTTTGGGGGACCTCCTAACCAACAAGAACTCGGAGGCAAGCAAGTCCTTTGAACACAGGGTTCCCATGCTGAGAACTTCCTAGACCAAAGTAAAAGAGGCTGTAACACTGAGCCACCAACACTGAAGAGAGAGAAATGGTGATCATGAGAACTGTGGCAGTGGAGTCAAAGCCCAGCAGGGCCAAGAGCACGAGTGACAGAATGGAGGCAGTGTGAGTCCAAACCAGCACTCAGAGCAGAGCAACCTGCAACATGGGGCTGAGTCGGCCTACTGAAAACGCAGAAGCAGAAGTCCCAGCTGAGCTGAGAGCTCTAACACTTGGGAGTGTAGAGAGCCCACTGGGAGAACAGGTAGCCTGTCTGCTAAGACGGCAGTCCCCCACAGTGGAGTTCTCTTTTGAGAGCTATCATTATTCAGGGCTAGAGCTGTGGCCTGCAAGGCTGTCTGGAGGCTGCTGGTTGAGAGCTCGACCAGTCAGTGATAGAAGCAGAGCCAGCCAACAGGAGCCACAGAGAGAGTCAGAAAATGAGTAAGCTCAGCCACACCTCACTAGCCAATACCTGGGGTGGCATCATGAACCCAGCACCTGAACCAGGGTGCATCTGCTCACACTTGAGACACAGAGTGCCCATCCAGATGTAAGAATGGACCTTAGTTTTTAGTAAACAGGTACGGTTTGCCACTTGAGCAAGTCTCTCTCCTATGGTATAAAATAGGGCACACCTAGGGGTGGAGAAGGGTGGCTCACAATAAATTAATTCCTATTGTTGGGTGTTTGCTTTCTACGAATAATAATGGGTTTCATTTGCTAACCCTTTGTTTGGTGTGTATGACTCAAATGGATTGGACAGACACAGCACTGATAGAGGGCTTTATGTACTAGTTGGAATCTTCATCCTAGTGGTTTTATGGCTGCTTTGGCTTTTGAGGCAATTTGTATATGTCCGTGCACCTATGGGGTTTCTTCTCTCCCCTTTCACAGCATTATACATGAAAGCCCCACTTTTGAGCAGGTCCCCAGTATCTGGAATCACTCCTGCCAGAATCTCCTGCCATTGCACATAAGTCAGGCATGGTTGAAGTCAGGCATGGTTGTAGTCAGGGCGATGATGTTTGGCTGGGAGTATTATCCTCCTCTGAGGGCTGAAAAGATAAATACTATACCACTCTGGTTTTCCCTTAGTCCTTTGACAGCATCTTTCCATCACTGGCTCTGCTCCCATTCCCCGATCACTAAATGTACTTTAGGAATACATCAAAATTCTATCCATTCATTAAAGCCATCTACATACCACTGCCGTGATGGTTTTCCTATCTCCTCCAATGCAGTACCAAAATTAAATATGCTGTTGAACTATTATTTAGAACAATGAATGGACAAACTAATATAGAACAGAGATATATCAAGAAATACATACTTATAAAATGACTTTTTATTAATAATATTTTATTGTGTTTTCAGTGAATGTTTACACAGAAAATTTGGTACCTATCTGATGTTTGTACACAAATTGTTCAGTAATAATTAACTACATTTTTCACAGTGTGTCAACATTCTCTTTAACTGTATTCTGTTTGGTCTGGTTCCAGTACTCTAGCTTCCCTGCCCCCTTACCTTCTTATCTTTGCTTTAGAGTAATTGTTGACCTTTTGGTCTCATAAAGATTTTTTTTTTTAATGGAATACTGTACTCATGGATAATATTGTTTTTTGTGTGTGCTAATCTGCTACTTCACTAAAGGGTGACCTTATGGGATAGTTTCAGTTCAAGGTTTAAAAGGTATTTCAGGGCGACAGTCCCGACTAACCCAATAAATCTGGCCTTTTTAAGAATTTGAGTCTGTTCCTATTTTTCTCCCATTCTATCAGGGCCCATCTACTGCAGCCTGATCAGAATCTAGAAAATGGCTTATTACTTCTCTTTACTCTCCATTTTTAATCTTTATTCTCTCTACCTAAGACAATCTCTTCTCACAGCTTCATCTATCAACTTTATACAAAGATATCCTCCTTTCCTTCCTTCTTTCTCTATGTAACTCAACTCTATTCTCACATTTCGAGTCATCGGAGGGATATATAATTGCCCTATAAGCACCTCAAACTTTAAAACTGAATTTTCTCTTAAAAGCAAACCCTCCCTCTATATCTGTCCATTAAAATACCATTCTTCTTGTTTCAGTCTTAAAAAGGATGCAATAATCTTTGATTGGTGCTGTCATATCTTCTTAACCTGGACTTTTCTTACATCTACACTCTTAACTTGTTGCCCTGTACCCTTCTTAACTCTGAACTGGCTTTCTTGAGATTTTCCAAACATATGGTATTTTTGCCCAATTCAGTGCTTTTGCACATGCAGGGAATATTCTTCAAGCCCATCTTCACCAAGTTATTGCCTCATCATCCCTTATATCTCAGAATTAATATATGATCCTGAAGAAAGCCTTTCTAAACAGCAATTTCTCCCAGGCCTTAAGCCCTCACTAGATCAGACGACACTTATTTAATCTAAGAGCAATCTGTAATTTTTCTTTAGAACAATTACTAGTGGTCATGATGGAGAATTTATATTTACTTGTGTGATCATCTTATTAGTATAGTTTCCCCAGCTAGAGAGTATATCATGTCTATTTTTTTCACCACCTTTTACACAGTAGGTACTGTAAAAATATTTTCTGAATGAATGAATCCCATCTGCAGTCATAATTATATCAAACTCTGCCAGCTCTTTTCAGCATTTTTCTCAATTGATTTTTTGTATCACTTATAGTAAGCTTTTACATTAGTCTATAACCAAGTAATGCTTTGTTTCTGTGATGCTCTTCTGACTTGTCTTCCTATTTTTAGCTTGTTCTCATTCTAAGTGTCTCTGAATATTATTGCTCAAATGTCATACAGTCTGAAGGGATAAATATTCCAGAAGGAGGAAAACAAGATGGGTCAAGAAGTCTGCACAGGATTCTGATAGACAGCAATGGCTAGGAAGGTTCTAGACAGAAACATGTTCAACTTTGGAAGAAATAAATGGCAGAGAAATGTATGATACGATTGGCTTAACAACAACAACAACCAAAAAAAAAAAAACTGATCAATGTAGGTAGATTAAACGGCTATATAGGCAGAAGAGCTAAGTGTCCTAGAATTTAAGAAGAGAGTATCATTGCTAGGCAACTTAAAGAGGTGGGAAGTCTAAGGGTCTCTCTGACTGTAAGTTTACAGGAAATTTCAGAATGTCCAAAAATGTTCACACCTTATCCCCTACATCGAACATGTTCAAATTATAATTTGTATAAGAATTAGAACTTAAAATATACATCATTATTGATATAATTAACTATTTGTTAAATAAAAAGTTACCATTAACCTATTTTTAGCAGAGAAAAGTAAGCCAGCATTGTAAGGAGACCA